CAGCACCCAAGCCCAGCCCCCTGGCAGATGGAGCGTCTTGCCTGGAAGACATGGAAGCCGATGGGGTGGCACTCGCTGTCGGGACAGTGCTGCTGCAGAGTGATGCGGACACAGTGGGGGCCGCTGCCCTCGGGGACCGAGAGCGGGAAGCAGGGGTTGGTGGCGTAGGAGGCGAAGTTCCGGCTGCCCCCGGCTGTCTGGCCAGCCCGCCAGCAGCCCCGCAGCTGCACGGTCTCCCACTGTCCTGACAGGGCCTCCTCGGGGTCTGCGTTCTTGGCTGCCAGCCTGACGGCACTGCCAGGGGAGACAAGCACAGGGGCCAGCTGGCGGCAGGACTCGGGCCTGCCCCGGTCAAGGCAGAGACGCGGCCGGGAGGGACCCTCCCCATCCCGAGCCGGCCCTGCAGGGCCCTCACCTAAGGGACACTCTCCCGCTGGAGAAGACGCGGAGCAGGAACTGCCCGGGCACGTCCTTCAGGAAGGTGCTGGGCACGGCCAGGTAGTAGCCGGGGTCAAGCTCACAGCGAAGGTGGACCTCGCGATCATACGCGTGGCACACGGTGCCGGCCACCGGGGGCGAGGACAGGACTCTGGGCAGGCTGACCCGCCGCTTCTCCACCTGTGTGCGAACGTCACAGACCTGGCCCGGGCCACTGCAGCACTGGGCCTCCCCTCGGCCGAGGTAAAGCATGCAGGGGACCCCCCGCCTCTCGGCCGCCGAACATGCCCAGACCCCCGGGCTCTCGCTCAGCCCTGTCCCAGATGGGAGCCTGCAAACTGCCTTGCTCCTGGAAGGGACACACAAACATGACAGGGCTGTGCCCAAAAGTGCTGCTGGACAAAAGGCTGGCCTGCGACTCCTTCAACAGGAGAAAGGAACGCAACATGAGCCACGCCCACAAAGGGACAAGAAACTCTGGACCAAGCTGCCAGCCTCGGCAGGACACACAGGATGTGAGCAGTGGGTGGGCAGGTGGGCAGGCAGCATGGGCTGCCCCTGGAGATCAATCCAGACCTGTCCATCCCTGCAAGACGGGGAGACAGGCGTGGGGCGGGGGAAGTGGCTTCCCCAGGTCCCACGGGAGTGGCTGGCTCCTCAGCAGTGGTGCTCAGAGCCAGGCTCACGGGAAAGTGCCCCGCTAGCCGGTGCAGCTCGGATTAGCGCTGGGCTGAGGGAGCACCCACTGGCCTGTGGCTCCCGACCGTCCCGGGCGAGCAGCCCCGCGCACCCACCTTCCACAGGTGCAGGCCCACGGCCGGGCAGTCCTGGCCCAGGGCACTCGCCCACCTCCACGCGGCGCGGCTGGCCCCCAGGGGTGCCCGGGCCCGGCCAGCCCCATCGGTCGTGCGCGTCCTGGGCCTCTGCAGGACAGTGACATACACCTCGCTCGGCTCTGAGACCCGCAGCCAGAATTTGGGGTTGCTGGGGAAGCTGCTGTTGTTCCGGCAGCCTCCGGCCGACTGGCCCTTGACCCAGGCTCCAGGCAGCTCCTGGGTGTGGCACAGTACCTTCCCTGGGGGATGGGGGGACGGGACACACCACATCAGGTTCCCACACCTGCTCCCCACTGCCACCGCCACCAGCCCTCCAAGGGCCCGCCACCTCCCGCCACCTGGATGGGAGGAGACGGCCCCGCAGACACGGCCTGGGCAACGGGCTGTATCGAGAGCCCTGCAGGGGCATGCGGGCCCCGCCCTGGCTGACCCCCGAAGGCAGAGCCCCTCCGAGGGACTGCAATGCAACCGCACGGGGACCGCCCTGAGAACAGTTACCTGAGTAGAGGCTCTGCAGGTGGCCGGCCTCCGTGACCGGGTAGCCGATGGTGACCTCATCAAACTCCTGGAGGAACTCCTGCTCGTCCACCCAGAACTCCCCATCCTGGAGCTGGGACAGCAGCTCGGAGCTGGCCGCCGCATCCACCCGGCTCCACCCTTCGCCCCTGCAAGTGACCTCGTGTCAGGCCTCCCGCCCGAGAGCAGACAGCGCTGACTGCGGAGCCGGCAGGAGAGGACGCGGGGGGACTGAGGGCGTCCTGAGAGCCCATGTCCCTGCCAGCCCCTTGAGGGCCCAGCTCCACAGCCCCACGCTCGCATCTGCTCTGGGCCGCACCTCCCACGGGGCAGTCCTCGCACCTCCCCAGGGGCTCCTGCTTCTGGAGGCCCGACGCGGGGCCCGGCCGAGCGGAAGGGTCAGCGAGAGGTGAGGGAAGGGCGTCTCCCCATCGCCTCGGTGAGCTGCTCAGCCGAGTGTGGGGTGTGCTCGCTACCCGGCCGGGTGAGGGGACTGTCCCAGCACCCTTCCAGCAGGACGCGGCAGTGGCCCAGGCGTCACATAGGTCCCTGTCGCCCACAGCCTGGTTGGGCATATGCCACTCCCTGGGCACCCTCAAAGCAGCACCCCGGAGCCTAGGGTTCCTCGGGCCCAGTACCAAGCACTACGCCACCTCCTGAGGCCATCTGGGGCCGAGCACGGAACACATGGCCCACAAGCAGGGGTCAAGTGGACCTCGCTGGAGACCGACTGAGCACTGTCATGACCATTGAAATAACCATGGCACAAGCCGCGGGTACCGGGGCCCAGGACCCCCACTGTCGTGACAGCTCCACCCTCCCCTGGGGACAGCGGTGCCGCCGGGCACTCACCCCTCCGTCCAGGGCCCCCGCCAGCACCGCCGGCCCCAGGGGTTCTGAACGCGCAGCAGCAGGATGCTCTCGCCAGCCCGGCCCCGGAGCTCCCGCAGGTCCGAGACGATGAAGGCGTGAAACTCCCCCAACTCCCTGGCACCTGGGCGGGGAATGGCTCGGTCACGGGTGGACGCACAGCCACACAGGCACCTGGGTCCCCAGACAGACCACCAGGCTCCTGTCCTGACCGCCGGACTCCGGCCAGACCAGTTGGCAACTCACTCGCTTCTCTGGGCCTCGGTCCCCACCTGGCTGGATGAGGGACACTGGCCATCACACACGGGGCCATTTCTCGAGCGTGCTGCCACCGACACTGCCGTCGACGGCCTGCGACAGCCAAGGAACGAGGGCAAACTCCTCTCGGCAAGGCCAGCTGCGGGGGCAGGGGACAGCCAGGCAGCACGAGCACTGGAGGCCCAGGGGGATGACTCCACCGGCCCAGAGACTGGGGACAGACGCATGCGTGTGGGGGAGCCAGACGGGATGGCACCCTGTCTGGGGAGGAGGGGCGGTGATCCAGAGTGGAAATGAGAAACTCCTGGAACGTTTTTAAGTGCTTTATTCAGAATGGCACTGTAGCTTCCACTCTGGATGTCCTGCCCGTGTCCCCAGCCTCCTGCCGCCTCAGTGGGCTCCAGGTTACCCGGCCCTGGAGGCAGTTGATGCTAAGCAGACCAGCCCCTTGCCCTCCGGAGGGGCTCCCCTCAGTCTCAACTGTGCTGGAGCCGCATCCCGGGGTCTGCCCGTGGGGACCCGCCCCGGGCCAGCCCTCACGCACAAGCCGGGCCACGTAGCTGTCAACACGGGTCATTTGTTCCAAAGTTCATAATCTCTGACCAAAATTCCACTATGGAAAGAACCCTAAACGTGAAACGTTTATGCAGAGAGACATTCACTGCGACATCACTTACGCCACCATAAAATCGGCACCCCTAAAACACCCAACGTCAAGGAAGCTACTGCTAATCCGCTAGTGCAATGACGCGCTGGCCAAGTTTACGTGACGACACAGAAAACTGTACGCCCAGCAGAAGGCAAAAAGTACATGCTCATGGAAAGAACTGAGAACGAATCGGAAGCGGTCCCGTCTGAGTGACTGTCCCTTCAGCGACCGTTCGCTCTGAGCACTGCGTTACCCAAACGGACACCCGCATGTCCACGCTGCCAGGCCGCCAGCCGGGCCAGAGACGGTGCCACCTCCCGCTTCCCAGACCATCTGCACAGCGGTCACCCGAAGGAGACTCCTGCCTGGCCCTGGTGCTAAGTCCTGGGCAAGGAAAAGGGACCCTCCCTCTGGGGAAGGGCGAGCAGCAGGAGGTCACACACCCAGGACACCGCTTGGACGGACCAGTGCCCTGCTCTCGCCTCGTCCTGATGGGCCATGGGTCAGCCTGCTGGTGAGAGGGAGCGTGTGCTGGCCTCAGCCGCCACCACCGTACCTGCTCTGGGGCTGAACACCGAGCAGCTGATGAGACAGCGCTCTTTGAGGCCGAGCAGCTGCCGACAGGTCCTGGCCTCCACGCCGCCGGGCCTGTCCTGTTGGCCACTGGTTCTCGCCACGTCCTTCAGGTTCCACCTTTCTGCCAGGCCACCGGTCAGGTCCACCAGGGCATCCGCCACCTGCCCTGCCCACAGATGTTCGTAGGAGCCGTGGACCCTGGGGAGGCAGCCATGGGGAGTGAGTCCCAGCACTGGGGCGTGGCTCCCTGCTTTCTGTTATCCCACAGCCTACGACACCCCAAATCCCCCTGACCCCCACTCCAATCTCTCCTCTTTGCTGCCTCCTCATCCTCCCTGCACCCAGGCGCAATTCACGCGCTGCCACGCGGTGTCCTGGCAATAGCCTGCCACCTCTGCCCGCGAGCAGAGCCGTCCTGCCCCTGTGTGGGCCCCGGCGTGAGGCGGCCCGGGGCAGAGGCTGTGAACAGCTTCCCCTCCGTCTGTCGGGACAAACCTCACACCCCAACGGTGGCCATCGGGTGGAGGGACCGTCACACTGACGTCGCCAGGAGGCCCTCCCCACTTCCTGTCAGCGAGGTGTCAGAGCATTCTAAGAGCACGGTCCTTCAATTCAGGGCCGGGTGAGGGTCTCGTCTCAGCCAGGGCCATGCCAAACAAGGACGGATTCCTCCGTGCCCGCCCCCCGCCCCCGCAACCTGCAGAGAGGCCGCTTGTCCCCGACAGTGGAAAATAAACAGACGGAAACATCTTTCTTGCGGGGGACTGAAGAAAGAGAAAAGACACACACCCTCTTTCTGGGGGTGACCTCCGCACGCCAACTGTGAAGTGGGGGCAGGGAAAGGGGGTGGATGGGGCAAGAGAAGACAACCACGGGCCGAGCCTCAGAGCTTCTGTCCCTGGACGGATCAGCCCCAGCCCGGGACCGGTCTCCAGACCCTTGGGACTGACAAGGGTGTCCCGCCCTGGCCTGGCCCCCCAGCCTCCGGCTGCGTACTTGGCGTAGACCTTCTCCAGTAACGGGAGCCAGAACACATCCTCTCTCTGGCACCGGGAGAAGCAGAGTCTCCCTGCAAGACAAGGCAGACGGTCATCTATGGTCACCTCCACCCAGCGTCCGAACTGCCAAACTCGACAAGTGAAGGAGCCGCAATACGTCGGGTCGAGCCAGCTCGCCTGTCCGGGAGCGATGACCTGCCGTGCAGAGGGAGAGGCGACAGACCGTGAGACACAAACATCACGCCACGCTGTCAAGGGCCTTAACCAGAGTGAGCACAGCGGAGCCGTCCCACACTGCCCTGCGGCTCCGCGAAGGGCTCGGCCTCGCTCCACACCTGGAGGTCACGCTCAAGGAAAACTGACCACGGGACAGAGCTCGCAGCCCTTCTCCAAAAGCTTAAAGTCAACCATTACGTCCTGCTGTCCCAAATGAGGACTTGGCCTGAGTCCAAAACAAATGTGATTTTTATGAGCACAAGAAACCCAATTCTCGACTGAGCTGGTGGCAAGTGGCAAGTCACCATAGGCACAGCAACTCCCCTGCAGAAGCCTGGAGCTCAGGACCCCTGCCAGCACCTGGTCACGTGTTCACCGCCAGGTCTGAGGTCCTGACCCAAGAGGCAGTGCGGGCTTTGCACCTACAAGACTTGTTTGGCCCTGGCTCTGGCCCTCACTGGCCGGGAAGACGATGACAATGGTCTAGTGTCCTCGTCTGTAAAGAAGGGTTAAAGCCAGTGAGGCCTATAAGAACGAACGTCAGTGACGTGAGCGCTTAGCATGGGGCCTGGGACGTGGGGGGCACGCTGAGCAAGAGCATCACTGCCCACGAACCTGCTGCACTCCCCTGGAACGCTTAGCGAGAGCCGCACGGGCCATCTACACCTGCTGCTCTGCCAAGCATCAGAAACAGTGGTGATCACCTCTAGCCATTTATACTCAAAACCCATAAACAGTCAACTAGCCAGGGAAACTCAGTGCGAACTGGGGCTTAGGCCCCTGCAGCCCACCTGTTCCCAGTCAGGCTGGCACGTCTGTCTTTTTACTCCAAACGTGCGGCCATGACTACACGAGAACCCAGAGCTCAGCAGACGGCAGAGCAGGGCAGAAAGCACCCCGCTGAGCCCCTGCAGGTGAGGCGACACTGCATCTGCGCCTCAGCGCCCCTGTGGCCTGAGAGCCAGGCTCGGTCCCATGGCCCACACTGAGCGGCCACAGCACAGCCCCACAGCACACAGGCGTCAGCTGCCCGGCCTCCTGCTTCCTTCCTGTGCACGGCAGACAGGAAGACGAGGGCAGAAGAGAAGCCCGCACTGTCGCAGACACCTGCTCCAGGAGGTGCCGGCTCTTCTGCAGGGCGGCACAGGCGCACAGGAACCAGCAGTCCCCCAGCAGCCCTTGCTTCACCCGCCCTTCTTGTGGGTTATCTGCAAACAGCCGGGGCGAGGCACAAATTTCCTGAAATAAAAAAAAAAAAAATCGTCTAGAGTTACATCATGCCTGATGGCTAGTTTTTAAAACGAAGAACACAGATCCAGGGAACGGGGCTGGGTGGGGCCTAACTGCAGAGGAGGGGGCTGGCTGCTTGTCGATGTTATCCGTCGGCCACCCCTGGTTTCACGTCACTCTGTCCAACTTAGATTGCAGGGTCCCTGTCTCTGTCCACCTTCCTAAATTGGCAAAACCCTCAAAGTGGGATGAACCCTACCATCCCCTACTTGAACAGTGAAATGTTTGTCTAGGAGACGGTCTCACTTTACATTCACGACGGCAAATCTCGCGAACCTCGGATGGGCCCTGCACGCTGCTGGAAGCCGACTGCTTCTCCAAAAGGCTCAGTTCCCGGCCGGGGCCACTCACAGGCGCCACTCGCCTCTCCCCGCCCTCCCTCCTCACGCCGGCCACGCCCCCTTGCCTCCTGCTTAGTCGGAAGCTACCGGGCCTGCACCCTCCTGCCTCAGGGCCTGGATTCCTCCTGCGACCCTTTCCCTCTCCCACCTCCGCAGGCAGAATCCGCCAGTGGGGCCGCGGGAGAACCTCCGTCTCCTCTGAGACACCGTCCGTCCCACAGCACTGCCTCCCCTCCCGGTTCCCCTTCACCAATGAACTCGTCCCCACTCTTGACACAGCCTCCTCCAGCTTCCGAGCCAGTCATGCCTCCAAACCGCCTTTATCAATGTCCCCTCTGCGTCGTCCGACTCGACGGGCACCCGTCTGTCCTCATCTCTCCCAGCACTCGGCAGCATCAGGACAGCAGTCCCTTGTGGCTGCCATGAGTCCTTTCACCTCGCCGCCTGCTGCTTCTCAAGTCTCCCTTCCAGGCACCGCCTGACCCCTGTTGGAATGCCAGGGCCCGTCCAGGCTCAGCTCCGAGTCCCCCTCCTCTCTACTCATACTTCCTCCTGACGTACTCTTCCACGGTTCCGGGCCCAGGTCGCAGACGGAGCCTCTGGCCCGCACCTGCCTGAGCTCCCACTATCATAGCCAGCGGCCTACTGACAGCTCCACTGCACACGTGAGGGCAAACCCCAGCCCGAGGTGTCCACCCCAGCTCTCCCCCACCCCCTTCCCCCTAGGTGCTCATTCCTGACCCGTCCCTATCCTCACCCTCTACCTCCAGGCGGTCGCTAAGGCTTATCGAAGCATTTCCGAATGTCCCACTGCTAACGGCTGTCACACCGCCAGAGCCCTTTCATCCTTCTGCAACGGCCACTCACTCTTGCCCCGACAACCCACTTCCCATCCAGCAGCAGGAGCAAGCTTCTTCAAACATGCACCCCCGAATCATTCCTCCAAAAACACCTCCAATGGCCTCCCATTGCACTTGAGATCCATTTTATACCCAAATTCCACTGGCGTGGCCTCTAAGGCTCCTCATGCTTTGGCCCTGACCTCCTCCCAGGCCAAACAGGTCCTCTCACTGCCACCCAAGGAGAGTGCCTCAGTCGCCAGAGCCGGCTGGCGGCCACACGCTCAGGGAAGGCAGGCTTGTTCCTGGGGCAGTCTCACTCAGCGGAGAAACCATTTCTAAACGCGTCACCCTGACACTAGGCCAGAGCACCCCTTTAAGTTGCCACCTTAAATGTTTACACCTGGAAATGCAGGTGCCTAAGTCCAAGAGAGGCTGTTGCAGAGCCCAGCGGCTCTGTTCCGTGGGCTCAGAGGAGCAGGGAGGTGCGCACCGCCCGCCGGCCGGAGACACCGCACAGGCAGCAGCAGAGCCATGCCCTTCAGAGCGGAAGAAGAGTGGGGCTCGGTTTGCGTCTGTTACCACGCCCCCTCTTCCTCGGTTCTCCGGAATAGAGCTCTCACAAGTGGGGGCCTGAACTCGGGCTCCAGCACGCCCCAGTGGGGTAGGGAGCCTGGAGGACCACAGCAGCAGACCCTGCGGGATACGGTGCCCAGACCCGGCTGACCCGGCCACCCCTCCAGCGGGCACAGCCTCCGCGCTCGCACCCCGATAGGAAACGACGTCTAGAGACCCAACCCGAGGCCCGACCCGCCGCCCTACCTGAGGCCGCCTCCAGGTGATGTCCTCCCGGAACTGGGCCAGCGGCGTGGAGAAGCTGGAGAAGAGAGAGGAGTCGGAGGCGGGGAAGGCGGCGTCCCGGAAGAGCTCCCTGGCCGGCGCCCGCATCTTGGGCGCCCCGAGCTCCCATGTGCAGCCCGAGCCCCGGCGCAGAGCGCAACCGAGAAGGAGTGCAGCTCCGGAAGGAGGGCGGGTCGTCCGGAGGGCGGGTCGGCTGCCTGCCCGACGCCCCCGGCTTCCACCCGGGTCTCTACCTCAGAGAGACCCGCGGCTGCGACTCAGCCCGGGCATCGCTCGCTCGGTCGCCCTGGTAACCTCAGGCTGCAGCCAACCAGGCGCGTCGCTAGGAGTCACATGACACAGCGGCCCAATCGCACTCGAGCGCTATGAAGTCCGCGCAGGATTCTCAGCCCTTCCGGGGGCGTGGCTCCCGAGCCCGACTCTCGCGAGGCCGCGCCGTCTTCCCGTCTGCATTTCTTCCGGGCCGACTGAGGTCCCGGCCGCGGTTCATGCCCGAGACGCTAGCGGGCGTTTTGCCCTTGGGCCGGTGCGGCTCGGGCCGGGGCGTCGGGACTGCTTAGACTCGCGGGCTCTGGGGGCTGAAGGGACCGGAAAGGCCTCCTCGGCCGAGGCGGGGCCATGGACCACAGGTCCCAGCATGCTACGCTGGCTCCCAGAATGCTCCTCTTCTTCCGGAGCGCGGGGCGGGTCCGCCTTTGTGGGAGGTGCCAGTGGGAGGAGACTAGCTTGAGAAGGCGAGATTTGAGTGGTCAGGAGCGGTTGTTGTGTTCTACTGTTGTTGTGGTTGTGTCCTAGGGTCCTGGGGAGTGAGACGGCCCGGCGGAGTGCCCTCTCGGGCCTGGGAGGCTGCCTCAGGGCAGCCTGGGATCAGACGAGTTGGGTCCTGAGCGGGGCAGGGTATGAGGCTGGCGTAGCCTTCCGGTCCCCAGGTGGCCAGGCTTTTGGTCCTGGTGGGCTGGGCAGGGACCTGGACGCGCGGCGATAGTCATGGCCGCTCAGTGCTGCGAGGAGGTGAGGACAGTGATTTCGGGACCACCTCAAGGATGCAGCCTTGCTGCAGGAACCTGTCCTACCCCATCCTCTTCTTGCCCTTGGAGGGGCAAGCTTATTCTTTGCCCGCTCCTCCAAGCTGCCTCACTATAGCTGAAGAGTGGTGTAAGGATCGGGTAGGGGAGGAGAAGGGGCCTACTAGTGACAGCTCTCTGTCACCTGTTGGGGCTTCTCAGATTTTGCATCTCCAGGCTGCTTTTTCCCAGTGCCCAGGTATGAAACGTGGTCAAATCAAAGCCCTTTTCCTACAGTTAGATCCAAAAGTTTCCTACTGCTGGACAGGAAACAACCTGGTCCAGGAGCCCCAGGTTCCTGAGACAGCTGCCGCTCCTCCCTGAGAGGCGGGGCAGGGCCTGCATGAGTAGCAGCTGCTAGTGGGGGCATGACATTGTCCTGCCTTGACCCCACTAGGCCTCAGCGCCCTGGTTTGGGGTTCTAGGGTACTCATCTCTGCTGAGGTTCTGGGAAAGGGGGTGACTAGACCGCCCAGCACGTGTCTGAGATGCTAGGACTTACTTCATTTCCATGCAGCACCCTGTGGTGCCGGCCTCCCAGATGTTCTGTTCCCTCCGCAGGCTGGAGGCCACCCTGCAGCTGAAAGGGATCAGGAAAGGACTGGACTCTGCCTCACCTGGGGAGTCCTGAAGGAGTCAGACAAATTTTTCCCTGCCCTGGGGTGCTGGGCAACGGGTCTGCCCCAGGTAGCAGGAGTGATTGGCAGCAGAGCTGGTCCCAGCCCAGGATCTGGGCTCTTAAGTGGGTGCCTCAGGCTCGCAAGGACGGCATTAGGGCAGCTTGCCCAGCATAGCTCTAATTGCACCATCCTCACCCCATATGCCCCATGGTCCCATCCCCCACTCATGAGTGCAGAGATGCTCCCTAAGCCAATTAGGAGTGCAGGCCTGTTTGCCTTTTCGGCCCGTCCCCACCCTGCGCAGAGATGGGGCTTCTGGCTCCTGGGTATCAGGAAGTTGGAAGCATCCTGGTTTGGTGGGACAAGAAAGTTCTGGAGGCAGCTAGTACTCGACTCAACCACAGGCTCTCGGACAGGCAGTTATTTAAAGTCTGAGCCTCAGGGCTCTCACGGTAAGGCCCCCCCCCCCCACCCATGTCACAGTGCTGGTTAAAGGCTAAGGGAGGATGAAGATAGACGTTTCCTCAATGCTCAGGACTCGTCCTCCCACCGACCACGCCCCCAGCCGTCAGACTACAGCACACAGCTAACCGCTTCCTTCCCAAGCCCATGGGTGCTGCATGGGCCCTGTGGAACCTGTGCCTCACCTGCTCTCCCACCACCCCCGTCCGCGTGTGCCCCCACGTTATCACTGCTCCGGAGACTTGGCGCTCCATGGCTTTGCTCACACCCCTTGTCCTCCTGGGTGACTGCCCCTGTCCCTTTTCAAGGATGTTTCCTGACCTCCTAGCTAGGAAGGTCTCTCTCCTCTGAACACCGCCCCCCGCCCCACCCCAATCTCTGTTTAGTGGACAGCAACCGGGCACTTCTGTCCAGGCTCTGCATTCCCATGAAGGTAAAGAAGTTAGAAACTAGTGTCCTGCCCACAAATCACCCCAAGTTCGGTGGGGGCGGGGAGGAGAGCGTAGAGGTGCTCGGGGGAAAGACAGGCAGCAGGAGCTGGTGGAGGAGAAGGGGAGGGGTACCGGGTGAGCGCACAGCCCTGGCCTGGCTGGCTGCCACGTTCCACTGGGCTCCACCGCACAGAGCTCCTGCCTCGCCAGCAAGAGCCCCGGTTTTGATTCTGCGTAGTTGCTGACAGCTGGGGAGTCTGGACCTGTCTCCAGCTCGAGAGTCGGAAGTTTTAGGAAGGGGCCTGTGCCCCAGCGCTGGGCAGCAGGGCATAAAAGCAGTCCTCAGCGGCCGCTGGGAGTCTCGCAGCATCTCCCAAAGGCCGGAGGGTGGGCAGCCAGCCCTGGGATGCCAGTGCTTGGGGATGGACGGCTGCAGCCTGCTTGTGCCCGGCAGGAGTCAAGCCAGAGGAAAAGGCCAATATACTGAGAATGCAGAGCAGAAAGAGAAAGAGCCTGGGTCTTTGTTGATGTCCCTCAGCCGCGGAACTGGTCTGTGCTAGAATTGCCCTGTATTCATTATGTACTTTTGCATTAACAAATCACCCCAAACTCAGCCACTTGAAATGACATTTGTTATCTCAGTTTCTGCAGGTCAGGGGTGTGCGAGTGACTCAGGTGGGTGGTTGTGGCGCAGGGTCTCTCGGAAAGTGGCAGTGGAGATGTCGGGCAGGCCTGAAGGCAGGCTCACCACGGGAGGCCTCAGCTCCTGTCACGTGGGCCTCCAGGAAGCTGCTCGGGTGTCCTCACAACGTGGCAGCTGGTTTCTCCCAGAGCAGGTGACCAAGGGCAGGGGAGGTGGAAAGTACTGTTTCACAGTGTCAAGCTCCACCTTTTCAGGGAGGAGCATCAAAGAACTTGTGGATGGATTTTTGACCTCTGTGTCCCCAGGGGTCAGATGCGAATGTGGGGTGCACAGGGAAGCAGTTGGGGAGCCTGTGGGGGGTGGCGAGGGTGTGGCAGCCCAGGGCCCTGACCTGCCCAGAGGTGGGGAACCGCGAGGGCACATTTGCAGTTCAAAAAGTCGCTCAGTTTGCCTAGGCTCAGAAGTAGATCCTTGAGGCTGGGCTGGGAGAGAGCTCAGAGGCCCAGATTTTGAGCCAGCAGTGGAGAAAGACTTAGTTTCTTAGAAGGCACTTGGTGACTAGTCACAAGTCAGAAGCAGGGAGGGTGCCACAGGACGGTGGCGCCAAGCAAGACAGCCCGGGGCTTGCGGAGTTGGGAGGAGGACTGGCCTTGGGCCCCTCAGCTGAGGGAGCTTAGTCTGTCCAGGAAACTGCCTTGCTGTGGGCTTGGGTCAGACTCAGCCTCCGTCACACTGACAGCTCTGAATTCCAGGGCAGTTTCGGGCCCTTTGTCCGCCCACCCCTTCAAAGCAGCCAGAGAGGGGCCTGGTGTCCTCGGCCTGTGGGGCAACGAGGTGCCCGTCCCTCTGAGCAAGCCTCTGGGGAGTCTCGTGAGGGGTCAGGACAGCGGGGAGGCAGGCTCTGGAGTCGCCACGGCACTCTGAGCTTAGCGAAGCCCCGGGCCCACAAGGTCAGCCACCAGCCTGCACGGCCCGAGCTAACTGCCTGCCAAGCTCCGAGAGCTGGCGAAAGGCTGGGTGGCCGCCCCAGCGGAGCCAGGCAGTGTCTCAAACATCACCCCGGGCCCCAGGGCCCAGAGCGCTCTCAGTCACTGGAGCAAGAATCCCTGGAAACCTGGTTCTGCTGGTCGGGTGTCCTGGCCGCTCTCTGGGCCTCTGTCCCTCACTCCGAAACCCCCAGGTACAGAGGCTCCCAGGATGGTCATCGGGGTTAAGTGGGAAACGAGGCAGAGTGCTCGGCTGGTCCTGGCTGGGAGAGGTGGTGGTCAGTGAAGGTCACGGCCCAGGGCCGAGGGGCGGTCAGTGTGGGCCACACACGAGGACTGCTCCTCTGTGGGGTGTCCTGGTGGGGTGTGGGGTCCTAGAAGCTCGGTCCCCCCCGTCCCCAGCCTGGGGGTTCAGCTGAAGGACTCGCAGCCAGGGCCGGACTGGACCTTCGGTCTCAGGGCAACAGTGAGCGGTCGTCCGGGCCAGTGGAGTGGGTTCCGTCCGTGGTGCGAAGGGCGCACATTCGAAACGAGGAGACAGCTTGTGAGGTCCTCACAGGTCCCATGAGAAGGCGTCACAAACGGAGCTTCGAGAGGAGGGGTGGCAGCCCAGGACAGCACAGCGGCAGGCGGGACACAAGTGGCTCCACGAGGCGGCGGCCAGTGTCCCCAGACCTCGCTCACTTCGCTCACTGCTAAGGCGTGGATCCTTCCGGGTGATGTTTTAGGCGGTTTGGGGATTCTTTCACAACCCCGTTCTAATAATAACGTGCTCCTTATAGGGGTTCCCCCTAACTATCGCTCCCAAATGGTCGCGTGTCCCTAGATTTTCCTGTGAACATGGCCAGTGACCGCGCCGTGCACGCCAGCCCTTGGAGGTGGCCGTCCTCTGTGCCGGGGGTGCCGCCGTGTTCCCCTCAGGCTGGAATCTTGCTGCTCGGTCACTCACTTCTGGACGAGGAGAGGCGTGTCTGGCCCAGGCGGGTGGCAGCGATCTCCTTGTCACCCTGCCCGGAGCCTAGTGAAGGCCCTCTGAGACGCTGGGCCGGCGCCCCGTTGACCGGTCGTTTCCCGGCTCTGGGGCTCTGGCCAGGTGACTGGAGAGAAGGCGGGGAGCGCGCACAGCCATCACAGCTCGCGTCAGAGCCTGCGAGGGAAAGGGCGCTCCGTGTCACCAGGGCAGGGCCACCGCAGCGGCTCAGCCTGGCTGGGGGCGCTGCACGGGGAGGGCAGGCGGTGGCTAGGGAGGT